AAGTATTAATCTAATGCCTCTATCAGTTTTTAGGAAACTTGGCCTAGGAGAAGCCAAAGCAACCACGGTGATACTGTAGTTAGCTTATCGATTATTTGCACATCCGAGGGCGATAATTGAAGACGTGCTAGTTGAAGTGGACAAATTCATTTTTCCAGCCGATTTCCTCATTCTAGATATGGAAGAAGACAAAGATATCTCAATTATCTTGGGCAGGCCATTCCTAGGTACCGTAGAGCTCTAATAGATGTTGAAAAGTGTCAGTTAAATTTGAGATTTGGCGATGAGCAGATCATTTTCAGCGTCTTCAATGTTATAGATGATCATGTCAAGTTAGATAGTTGCTATCAAATTGATGTGGTAGAGGAGGTGTTGTAAAAGACAATTGTGTTTCAAAATTTTTCAAATGCTGTCGATGACCGTAATGTGTATTTTCGACCCGAACAAAATCTTGAGAAGCAAGAAGGCTACATTGTTGAGTTTGAGGTAGTTGATGAGGGAAAACTAGATGACACAAATAAACATAAGGCTAACGTTTGGAGGAACGCTGCAGTAAGAAAGAAAATTTCATTTAAGAAGCGAATCAGGACCTCTAAGGCTATATTCGGCGTACCCTAACAGACCAATACTGTATAGTCGAGCTATCAACTATAAACTAGTGCTGGATGAGAGGCAGCCTATTATTTATTTCGTTTTATGCAGTCATTTGAGCAAATTTCAATTTTTTTTTATGCATTTTGGTAGTTTTAGGTCATCGTTCACTTAGTAAGTTCACTAAGCACCCATGCATGTTCCATATGAGTTTTGAATGCAGTATATATGTCTTATGTGGTATACAAATCTTCTTTGGGCACTTTGGAAAAAAACTCATGCATCTTGAGGCACAGATAGATAATTTTTTGAGTTTTTCGGACCCACACGTGCTTTCATAGTTGAAAATGCATTTAGATGTGCTGTTACAACTCATAAGCATCTCATGTAGTTTATAATGTGGTTGGATAAAGTTTGGGGGATTTTTACAATTGCCTTTGGTTGTTTTTGCACTTCACTCTATTCGGACTAATGTTTGCTCTTTTACATCATACAGGATATCGGGCCCAGTTTTCTTCTTCCATCTCCACCACCGCCTCCTTTTTGATCAGGGAGTTTCCTCTCTCACTTCTTTTGCTTTTTATTCACATTATCATTCAAATTTGGTGTCTAATCTTATCTTGTGGCACATTGAGGGCAATGTTTGTATAAGTTTGGGGGTGATAGAATTTGCATGACAATATAAGGGCAATGTTTACAGTACTTTTCAGCATTCATCGATACTACCATATAATTTCCTACTTCTGTGTGCTTGTTTATTTATTGAAAAAAAAAACAATTTATTTCAGTTGTTCATTATTCTTAGTTTTACACATTTCTCGTAGTAGTATAGAATTTTGTGTGCTTGTGTTTAGCTTGACATTTCTGCCAACCATTGAGTATTCGAAGAAAACAAAAACAAATTGTCTACTTCAGTATTTGTGTTTTGTGTGCTTGTATGGATTTAATGGCCTTGTCGGGAATGATGAAAAT